TTAGGATAGAGTGTGTAAGATGTGGCAAGAGGAGAAGAAGAGAAAAGTGGGCAGGGGGTTACCTCAACTGACCGTTTGAATGAATAAAGCTTGACTATCTGCAATGAAGTCATGTGTATTCCTTTTGGTCGAATCGGTCGACATCATCGTAAACTGTCAATGTAAAATGCATTACAAAAGTTGTTTCCATGAAAAAGAAATCGTGGAATTGAGACTAATTTCTTTTTCTGAAAGTAATACCTATGGTCACGAAAGTTTTCGTTTACGGGGTAGCGATAGTGCATATGATGTATCGGTGTTCTGGGGTAGCGGACAATCAGCGTGTCGCTGGTCATAGTAGCTTCGCAGGAGAATATTCCAGTTTATACCGCTGATCTTCGATGGGATTTTGTTATTTTATATATCAAAGTACCTTTTCATATGGGGATTTCATAAATTGCTCAGAATATTTGCTTAATGGCAAACAGCGATTCTTTCAGACTGCATGATCAGACGACCGTGTTTCTGGTAATAAAGGCTACAGTTCACACCATAGATATAATAATATACCAAAGTTTTAACGCAACATTCTCTTTCAAACACGTTCATCTTAGGCCTGCTAAATACTGATGCATGTAAAACAAACGGAATAAATACATGAAAGATAAATAAAAAAATTCAATTTCAAGGTATCTCACTGCAATTCAATAATTACTAGTAGGTTTAATAATTTAGTTTATATTGTTTGGTGAGAATAACTAAAACTGTACATTGCTGCGAAAGGAAAGTAGTGAGTAGGGAATTTTAACAGATATCTCTTACACGTGGGGATAATCGATACCATACTCGACATAAAGGAATACACGTTAGATAATTACAGATATTCCAGCCTTATTCATCCAACGGTCATCTGAGGTGACGCCTCACTGCCCTCTTCTTTCTACTTACAAATTCTAAAGCGTGGCGAAGTATACATGTGATCAGCCAATCGCTGCAGACATTGGCACGATCACGTGTTTATCAGGGGTGTGGCTCAAGATTAAAGCATTGCAAAACTGCCAGTATTGAACACAATTAGTAAACAATGTATTCAGAAAATTGATGTTTATAATGTCTACTGAAAACATGCAAGTTGTTGATCCTAAATAATACTGCAACGTCGTGTAAACCAAATGTGCGAACGTGATTACGTCATTATGGTAACAAGATTCTAACGTCCAGTTAATATAGTACCGCATTTTCCGACTAGCTACTATCATTACCCGATGCAGTACAAAACAAATGACACTAGGTCTAGGTCGATACTCACAATTATATATGTGTAAATCCAAAATGGGTTGTGTTATTAAGTCGCTCGATGTGATTGACGAAAGAATTTAAATCGACGGTCAAATGAAGTATTTATCACCGCTGTGTATGTGATTCTATTATAGTGCGAATCAGAGAAAGTGAACCCCATGTTGTGAACACTGGGCTGACAAATTGTGTGATGCAACAACATTTCCAAAAATAAATTGTAGATATACTAAGTGTGTTCAATGAATTCTTTGATAAATTTTACAGTTGTGCGCACCATGATACGAATTTGTCAACACGAATGATTATGTTCGCGAAACAGGTTTCTTATGTAGTTGGTGCAATTAATTTTGGAACACATTATATCTTGTGGAGCGATATTGTCATATTACACCGTTCCGCAGGCAGACACTCCGGTTTTAGTCGCATGTCTTTCAATTTCCCAACTATTTCGAAAGGCATGTCTATAATGAAGTGCCCCACTCAGTGACCTTTCAATTATCATACAGCCGCTGACATTACGAATAAAGCCTGGATTTACTCGACTCAGTTGTATTCTCAGCGGTGTATAATCACTCGTCTGATGAGTAATAGCAATTGTACGTTCCGGTTAACGGAAAAGTGAGTAATTTTGTAAGCGTAGAATTAAGCAATAGATACACGCTTGTGTGTATTCGTACGCATGCCAACAAAATGTGTTTGTATTGATTGACGACTATTTGCTCCACCCATATGAGTTATTTACCTCTAAAACAAATTATTATTTCGAGCTGTGAGGAAGTTATTTAAATTAAAATAAAAAATGGTTAGGTACACCATTTTAAGACTTGTTCAACATATATAACATTTTAAACAATAATTTAAATTTAGTTGTAGTAATAATGTCGGGACACACAATATCACAATGCAAGTGTGCTGTCAGATTAGGATTTGATTGTGCGGGGTTGGGGGAATACAGGAACGTCGTGTTCGGTGAACAGATAATAAAATCAACCGTGTGACATATACATGTATGAACTCCCAGGAATCATGTATTAAATAATCAGATGCTACAAAGTTCAATCGACAATCATTTACACTTACATTTATGTTATTTGGGCCTATTATTACCAAATGCTTACGTATTATAGTACATTTATCGATAATCATTATTGATTTAATTTTTTTTTGAAATGAAAAAGCTAAAAGGGAGTACGATTTACAAAACAAACCTCCCCTAACCAAGCCTTGTTTTTAACACCTCATATATTGGGTGTACAAACAGATTGACACATTACTTTCATTTCAAAAGTAAACTGGGGTGAAATCACTGTTTTTTTCTTTTCAGAATTTTAGCATTATTAAATTTTTACATTTCAAAAAAAATGTATATCAAAAATGATTCATTCCATTTCCGTTATAATGTGACAAACATTGCTATAGAACAACATAGCGGGAGTTTCAATCTTTTTTTTCTTAGCATTAAGCCCTGTTTCTAGTATGGCCTTCACATACTTCCAGCTCATACAAACTGGATGTTCGAACGAATGCATTAGTTAATTTGACGAGAGACTTCAGAAACATCAAGATCACCACAGTCATGGAACACTAACAGGATATGAAATTTCGATCTGTATGATCGTTGATATCAATCGACGGTACGGCAACGTATAACCAACTTCCACTGCCAATTGATATTTTTCAATCTAGCTATTCTTTGGGGTTATTAGTTTCGTACCGAAGACATTTACCGGCCTCTACAAAACCCTACATAGGCAACACGGTCAATGACTATTGATAACTTCTTCCCTTGCTTAGTGAACATGTTAGATAGTCTTACTCGTTTTTTGGAACAACATTGTCACAATAATTTCAATCTAATGAGATCCGCAATATAATCTACTGATGATCACTATCTCATTGTAAATGCATATACGGAACGAACAGACGTAAAAGCCGTTTACCCTGAATGACCTCATTTGGATACGTGTTTGCTGTCGCTAAATTCTATAAATTCTAGGCGCAGCTGACATCAAGCAATAAATAACCTTTGCAAAACGCCCGTCTCTTTTGGTTTGTATTTACAACTGTCAAAGCTCGGATATCGAATTACCGCTGATAGAAACCGATCGCAGCTAATGAGTATAGTGCATCGGTGCACACATGTCATACGAATAATACATTGATTATGTATGTCACATGAGTTGAACGTTCGATTCAGTTAATTTACTATAATACCTTCAGTTGTCATGACACAACGGTGCCATGATATGGATTTTATCAGCAGAAATTATCGCTTCAGTTGTTAAGCAAAGATTGTCATTTTCTTAATGCACATGTCGCAAAACGTCACATCAAAACATTGCAGATTGATTTCAATTTGTTCACTACATGCAAATTAATGACAGCCATTCTAGTTTTCCTTGGTTGTGGATTGGAAAATAAATAGTTCACTGGGCTACATACACATGGTCACACTAGGCATAAACCTCACTGTAACTGTTGTGCATTGTGCATTTTAATCACATTTATATTTATCATTGTGTCTTTTTTACTGGGTTGACATGGTTCGCCACTGGAAGGATTTCTGTCGTTTCATGAGGCACATAGCAAAACTATTTTCCATCTTTTATAAAAATAACATTGAGAAACCAAAAATATAAAACGAACGTGTGGAAACGGAAACACAGTGCCATAATGCCGTAATTTAATTTAATAATAATACGAAACGTACACTGTCGTATTCTCGTATATTTCAGTTTTCTGAAAACATACATATTGCCAGAGCTGCATGATTAATAATCGAGAGTGAAAGTCCTAATAACAATTTCACGATTAGTCATTTGCTCCGCTTGCTTTATTATAATTCCGAAAATGCAATTTTGAATCCATATATATACAAAATCATGCAGAAATTGAACATACAAGTAACTGCAAAACCTTCTTGTATCAGGGAAATACTGTTCTATCTCTTAAACTAAACAGAAGCAGCATGACAAGCATCCAGCGAGTGCATTCTGAGAAAATGTTCTGGCAATGTGCATTTTGCAGTCTTATTGTTTTTATTACATGCTGAAATGTATACTTCTCGGGTTACTTACTGTGGAATCAAAGTTAAAAAAAATAGATATCTGTGCTGTCTTCGTAAGTTTAAACTGTCTTTAGACTGTAGTGAATGCATATTTTACTGTATAAATGCAACTGAGCCTAGCCCATATGAAAACGTATAAGATTAGCTCTAATTGAATGTGATATTAAACATTGACAACAGTAGAAACTTCATGGATGTTGGGGTGTAATACTATTATACTGCCAAGCGTTTATAAGTATAATCAACTGTTGCCAAGAAATCATACAACACTTTAATTGCAAAGTATATATTACTGGTTCATTAACATATCATGTTAGCAGTATAATACATCTGGCATTAGGCGTTGTGTCGAGTTGTGGCCCATTGGTTACTCACTGAACCACATCACGAACGAATCAAATAATTGCATTCTATATCTGTCATAATAGGGTATACGATTTGAAACTGTGGCAATGATATCAACCTCCAAGGATTTTCAGAGTTGTCGTTCTGAGAGAGGGCGTTTATATTCTCATCTCTTCGTTGATTTGTAGCTGAAAGCATGATTTTCTTTCCTGGCTATTCCCTATTATGTACTACTTAATAATATTCTATTTCTTTTAATTAAATATATGCCGTTAATTGTATTTTATAGAATCAGAATCCACAACAGAAGATGGAAAACACTTTATTCAACATCAGTGCCAATGGTAGCAGCAATACCCAGAATGCTCTGACATGGAAAGTTGTCCCAAATGAATTGACTATGGCGATGTTCATCATCTTTTTCATCTTGATTGTATGCGGCAATATCTGGGTAATGATCGCTGTAGTTCGCCAGCCTAAACTACGTAAATCATCGACTTGTATGTTCATTATTTCACTCTCTTTCTTCGATCTTATGATGGCGTTTTTCTACATTCCGATGCAAGTGGCTTACGTGGGTTTCGGCTTGACTGGAATGAGTAGCGTAGTGCTGTGTAAGGGGTCAGCTTGGCTACAATGGGTTGCTCAGCGTGCCACGATATTTTCTTTAATCGGAATAGGAATCGACCGATACCGAGCAATAATTCAACCATTTCACCCTAAATTGACAAGAACAGATGCCGCTGTGTGTATTGCTGTAACATGGATTTGTGCCGGCGCATATTCTAGTCATCGAATGTACGTATTGGACAAAGTTACATTTACATATCCCGTAGGTTTCAATGTGACTGTATCTACATCAGTATGTGCAGTGCCATCTGATAAATATAACTTATTAAATTATCTTTAAGTGATTGACTTTCTTGTGATGTACCTAATTCCACTAATAATTCTCTGTGTGATGTACACCATAATGGTATTCAGTCTGTGGTTCAGTTCGGCTTCAAATGATGAATCCAAACAAAGAAAGAGAAAATCTGTTAAAATGTTAATCCTGGTCGTAGTGTTATTTTGCATCAGTTGGTTGCCATGGAGATTTTTTTCTCTATACTTTCAACTGACAGACTTCGCATCAATCCCAGTCAACATTTTGTTATGGAGTGACGTCATAGCTGCAATTTGCATAACATTGTATCTTACCAATAGCTTGGTGAATCCATTTCTTTACGCCTATTTCAACCAGCATTTCAGGAAAGAGTTTTATCGGTTATTCCCCTGTATGCTAAAAAGACAATCTAAAGTAGTCCCTACTAATACACCGAATGTTAACATAATTGCCTCAAATTCAGTTAATGCCACGCTGTCGTGAATTCGTAGGAAATGATAACTTTAGATTATGTATTCTGCAAAGAGTGGGCTCAATATTATAAATCAAATTAAATGTGACAATCGATTGCTTATATAACCAACTGTAGAGTCTATTGAATTGACGTAATTACGCATTAATGTTGAAGCAATGTCGGTATTTTGCCTTTTATGGAAAATACATTTTGTAACTGTGCATTTTTTTATTTTTTATCCTGCTCTGCGCTAAAATGATATTCATACAACTGTTCATGATCATTGAACATCAATTATATTTTAGTCTTTTTCGAACAGGATAAACTGATGTGTATGTTACCTTGAAAATCGATATAGTTCTATATATTTCAACCTTTTTGATAACTGCATATGTTCACACATTTCACCGTGATTTTCGTGTAAATGAAATGCAATCAATTAGTAAAAAGGTATTTCAATAGCGTGTTATGTAGTGATATATTAGTGGGTTACATTTAACACATTGACATAGATGTTACACATATGTAGTAACAAGATTATATTATGTATTTATTTATTTATTTATTTATTTATCTTTTTCCTTAAACCTTACGAAGCTCATACGTGGGCGAAACGTTGCAAATGAAGTGTGTACAGTTAAGATGGTTATTTGCTTCCATTTTTGTTCTTGGCTTCCATGCTTAAAATTTCATGGAACCGCATCTACGAGACCCGTCCATTTTAGTTTTAAATAAATGAAAGTTCCATATGGTACAATGCCTTCTTCATCAAATAAATGTCTATATTTTTCGCAGCTATATCCCAGTAAAATATGGGTTTCCCCCTATTTTCATTGTTCCAGATAATCTGATTTGCAAACGTTAACGTTGAAATTTTGAATATATCATAACTCCCATTGTTGTCGCAAGAGATTATACTATGTGACCAACTTGAGTACAACAATACAACTAATCCGAGCATGTATTACAATTTGTACAATAGTTTAATTAAATTATCGATAGGCGATGCGCTTTACATCTCCTGGCATTAGACGCATAATTAAATGTGTTTCAAATAATCTTTACCTGTGTTGTAGTTTGTCCTCGTCTCTGTGGATTGAATGATCAATCGGTGCAGACCACAATTAAAAAAACCGTGTCTTACAGTCATCAAGTCTTAATTATATAAATGCAATACACAGTAATATGAACGTATATGCTATGATACAGATACACCGACACAGTGTCTTACCTGAACTTGCTTTGTCGGTCGTCATAGTAGATCTAATTTGCCTGACTGACGCATAGCCATGAGTAAAGCGTTGTTACGAAGATGACAACTATATGAAGCCCGCTTATCATAAAATAACACGTAAAACATAAACGACGCCTTCGTAGGCCTGCTTGACAACAATAACCGTAATAATTGCAGTGAAACGTTAATAACATTATTATTAGCTATTATCGGGTTCAGAAGTCCCAGTAATTGTTTACCCAAAGTTACTTCAGATACTCCGTAACTGCAACTGCTATTTATTCTACACTTTGTTTTGGCATATAACTTCTTCGTACAACCATACAAATGCAAAAAACAAGAATTACACTATGCAAATTCGCTCGTCTATATTCTTGCCATACATTCCTGATATAAACTTTAAAAGCAATAAAATAGATTAGACCGCAACATGTACAGTTAAGTAAAACAAAAATATAATTTGTGTGACATTTCCTCCTGGCGTACATATCCTTTTAAAATGTATACTATACTACTGTTTACTATACTATTTGTGATACTAAATTACTTCATGCGAATTATAAAATAAACTTTAATAGTCAGAGACAAAATGAAAAAAAATAATTTAATATTCAATTATTAACAGCAAAATAAGTATCGATTGTGTCACATATATATTTGTATTATTATTCTTGCTTGTATTGTCTAAATGACGATTGAATTCACATACTAGACTGTTGTGATTCAAGGTGCGGTGCAATCTTATAACAACGTTGTAACTTCTGATTGATGTACATAAACATTTGTTTGAAATTTAACACAACAATTTGGTAATGTATACTACTGTACTGCAACGATGAATTTTATCTCCTCATATATTGGTCATTAACACTATAAAATTTGATGTCATTTGGCTGAATAGCGTATAAATATTTAAAATTCCATTACAATTTCAGATATATACGTATTATGACTACGCATACCAAATTAGATAGTTAAACCTGTTCAACACCAACACCTGCAATCTTGCGGTATAACTGGAATACAACATTTACTGTTGAAACAGTATGAAAGTGTTTTCGTTTCATATATTGACTAATGTGTCGATTTATTACGAGATACATTACGACATGCCCTCAAATTCAAAACGTTTGTTAGCTGCCGAATATAATAACAAATTCACATGTAAATTGTTTTCATGGATTCGACCTGCGCATATTAACCTAATCACTGTAGGTACATTCTTGATGGCAGCTAGTGCCAGGTAGTAAGCTGTTAACCATATCTTCATCTGGCAAGGCGCTTTGCCATTGTCGTGAGTTCGAATCTCGACAGTCTGGCAGCCTAATGACGTGAAACGAATTGGTAGTTCTATCAGCCTAAAGTGTATAAACTGTATGTGGATCTCCATTTACACAGAAGTATATTCAAGCTTTTCCACAATGCCAAAATACCAAATTTGGAACCAGAGAAGGGAGGTTATGTTCGTCTATTACATATTCAGAATATACTAATAAACGCACCCAGTGTACACTATTCGTAGGGACATAGCTTATATTGTGAAGAGCAACACACCAATGCAATATTAATGAGAACAAAAAAAAAACACCTTCAGCACGAATTTAAATCAAACAATTGCAAATCGAGATGACGACTCTAATATATGAACATATCATATTTATCATAATATTAGTTACGGAATCATTGATTTTTACTTCCTTATTAAGTTTAACATAGTTCGTGTCCAAACTCTACAGGTCAGTAACTAATTATTAACAATTGACAGATGCATTCTGATTCACGTTAATGTATTATTAACTGAGTTGGTTGTGATGGTCATTGTCTGTCCTGTCGATGGAGTCACTTTAGACTTCCTTTTCAATATCCATGAAAACAATCGATAGAACTCATCCCTGAAACTTTGGTTGAAATAAGCGTAAAGAAATGGATTCACCCAACTGTTGCTAAGATATAAAGTTATACAAGTGGCTGCTATGACGTCACTCCATATGTAAATGATGACAGGAATTGATGTGATGTCTGTCATTTGAAAGTATAGCGAGAAGAATCGCCACTACGGTTTTTAGATACCATCCAATCGGTGCCTTCGCCAATTGATATACGCTTGTATATTCAATCAGAACGCGTTCTAGGCATTTCACCCTTCAATTCATGGTACTTCTGGTCCTTCTTACGTCAACTAAATGCGACAGGTTCAACAATGAATGCAATACATGTTTTGCACACCTGTCAACCTAGGAATTTCCTATTTCAATGTATGGTTAGAGTTATACATTGACTGGCCATCCCAAAGTATGGCGCCCTCAAACTGCACGTCGTCAAGTCTATGCAACGTATACTAAATTACTTCTTGACAAATGGGCACGATACAGCGCACCGAACCCAAGACTTCAAGAGGTTGATTATATTACGGAAAGTCATTTTGTAAGGTGAAAATCATATCATTGATGAAATGCTTTAAACACCAGTTCAGCGCTAAACATGGCCTTCAACACGCACCAACAAGGATACACGGATGGTAATAAGTGGAAGTTACAAAATTACGTACTACACACACCACAGCAAGTTAAATAACGATCGGGCAACATAAGGGAGGAAAACACTTCACATACATATTTTTAAAATATCACTTAAATAAACTGGCCAGGAAAATACTACATTCTATAATTTAACAGCGTGGTATAATTACAAGTATGTAAAACGTAGCAGTGCATTGTGGAGTGGATCTCCTCAGTGATTTTCTCGTAGCCAGCGACTGGAGTTTCACGATAGGACCATTGAACCTTCACAACTGTATCACTAATTTTGCTTTCCGGTTTGGCTTCAAACTTAATGCCGAGTTTAGCCATGGAGGTATGGATCCACTCACCGGATTTTAGGGGCACGCAAAGCCTGCATCCAATTGTTGGACACGATTTCCAACGGCAACCCATGGAAACACGCGGTCAAATTTCTAAATACCGGCCACGACGTCACACAGTTTATGTTGTCAATCAATAAATAGCCCACACTTATTATTTCACCACCTGAATACTCATCGAGTTAAGTCCAGGGCGAATTATGGGGCACGTATCACACCCACTTTTATATACATATGTCCATGCAGTATGAAATACGTCTAACCCTAATCCATTTTGATCCATTGTAATAAATAAATACATAATCACATTTTCTGTGTATGGCACGTAATTCGTTTATTATATTACCGTCCAGACACCCTGAGACACACAACGTTTCAACCACCCTAGTCAGATGACTAGGTAGGTGTAGATTAGATGGATACAATTTACACTGTTCAGTGTATTTGTGTTTTGAAATATGTCTACGAATGTCAAG